AGAGTAATAATTTCAAATAGAGTTCTCAAGGTCAAGTATTTTATCTAAGTCTTCTTCGATATAATGTTTTAGTGAAGCAGAAATATGAACTGCCAAATATTTTTTCACTGTTCACATTCAGAAGTTTAAAAGCTGAAAGCTGTCACCCTTCACTTTGCTGCCACTAAGCGATGTTGCTTCAGTTTTTGGGAGAGTTGTCTCAAAATTTGATCAGTGTGTGTGTGTGTGTGTGTGTGTTTGTGTGTGTAATGTAACTTTTGGCCTGCAGAAGGAGCATAGGCTGCTCTTGTCCTGTCCATCTGATAGTTTTTTCAGAAACGTGGTAACCCCAAGATTTTACTTGGTCTTGTAATTCACCAACAGTCATCCTTGGGGATTTTTTTGCCTCTCTTGTGATCCTCCTCAATGTACGTGGTGGGAAAATAAACTTGGGTCCTCCTCCAAGCAGGTTTGTAACAGTTCCAGTTGTCCACTTTTTTATTAATGCCCTAACAGTAGAAATGGGCATTTTAAGGCGAGTAACTTTTTTTTAATACCCATTCCTCATTCTCCCTCATTTGGTTTGTATGTTCTCTTATCTTTCCCATGTTGATGGATGTCTAAGGGAATTTCGGTTCTGTGTCACCTCATGTTCGTATCCCTGTTAACCAGGAAGTCATGGATTACAGCTTGAAGGTTCCTCTTCACTCCACTCAACTCAAAGATGTACAATTTACAGGGGAAACATGCTTCAGTTACATTGAGTTCACTATAATTTCCAGGGGTGCCAATAATTGTGGCACATGTTTTTGTTAAAGATAATTATCTCTTGATGAAGGATTTTTTTTCTTGGAATGCATTTATGTTAATGAAAGGTTGCATTTTTCAGTGTGACATGAAGTTTCTTCACCAAAAGGTGGATTTTTTCTAACCCTTTTTACAAATCTTTACAAGGGGTGCCAATAATTGTGGAGGGCGCTGTATATTGCAATGACCAACATTTTCTCAAATTTTAGACTCTCTAAAATAGTACTCTTTTGGTTGGATGACAGCACTGCAGACTCTTGGCATTCTTTTAGCCAGTTTCCAGATGTAGCCACCTGGAATGCTTCTCCAACAGGCCTGAAGGAGTTTCCACAAGTTCTGAGCACATGTTGGCTGCCCTGTTCTTACTCTTTGATCCAACTCATGACAAAACAACTCTATATGTTATAGGTCGGGGGATTGTGGGGGCCAGGTCATCTGTCACAGCACTACATTTCCTATATATATCAAGTACACTTCCAGTTTGTTCTTAGATATAACTCATTTGATACATTTGATACTATTACAAAACATGTATGTTTACTGTAATATTTTCCCACAGCCACCACATGGTGGCGCTTGTCAGTAAAATTGAGGTATGTTTTATCTACAGGCAAGTATTTTTCATCAAAGTAGGTCACAGTCATACTTAGTGATCAAATTGATAGTATAGTGCAACCTATCTGCACATTTAAACTAGCTGATAAGTTGCAATGAATATAACACAACAGATGTTTTATGATCAAAGCCATATATACAGAATTGTTAATCATACACCTGCAGTAATAAATGAATTAATTACACATAATCTATGTGACCCTGAAAATGAATGATGATTAAACAATCTAATAAAATGACATTGTTTTCATGTTGTTAATGTGTGATGTGGATCGGGTGGCGGCCAAGGGAAGCCATTGCTGAAGTGGCTGTATGGAGCTGTGGCTGCAGGGTGGTCGGTGCCAGTGGTGGCAGAAGCCCCCGTACCCGATCAATCAATCAATCAATCAATCAATCAATCAATCAATCAATCAACCAAATTTTATTTATAGAGTACATTTAAAAACAACAATGTTGACCAAAGTGCTTTACATTTCAATTAAGTCATGGAACATAGAATTATAAAACACATAGATAAATAATAGTAATAAACTACAATAAATATGGACCATCAGAATGTACAGCCTCACTACTAGTTAAAAGCCAGGGAATAAAGATAAGTTTTAAGATGAGATTGAAAAACAGAGAGGCTAGGGGCCTGCCTAATGTCAGGCAGTTCATTCCACAACCTGGGTGCAAGTACTGAGACGCTCTGTCACCCCTATTCTTTATTTATTTATTTATTTATTTTATTGGCCCACTACCACCCCCCCTCTTCGGAGGACAACTTTAATTTAAATTTAAGTTACAGTGTAAAGATATCCAATTCCAGTGTGGCCACTCATAATAAACCTTGTTGACCTCACCTGGGGACATCACCTGGAGGTGGCAGGAATACTTTGAGGACCTCCTCAACCCTGCCTCAGATACAGCAAAACTACGCATACCGCCTTTGAGACATCTGAGGGCACAGAGCCCGAGGGTGCTGGGGAGGGCTTGCACATCACTGGGGCTGAGGTGGCCCGGGTGGTTAAAGAGCTCCGTGGTGGCCGGACCCCGGGGGGGGGACGAGGTCCGCCCGGAGTACCTGAAGGCTCTGGATGTTGTGGGGCTGTCGTGGCTGACACGCCTTCTCAACAGTGCGTGGAGGTCAGGAACAGTGCTGCTGGATTGGCAGACCGGGGTGGTGGTCCCCTTATTTAAGAAGGGGGACCGGAGGGTGTGTTCCAACTACAGGGGGATCACACTTCTCAGCCTCCCTGGGAAAGTCTATTCCGGGGTACTGGAGAGGAGGGTGAGATCGATAGTCGAATCTCGGATTCAGGAGGAACAATGCGGTTTTCGTCCTGGCTGTGGAACACTGGACCAGCTTTATACCCTCGCAAGGGTACTGGAGGGGGCCTGGGAGTTTGCCTATCCAGTCTACATGTGTTTTGTGGATTTGGAAAAGGCTTACGACCGGGTTCCCCGAGGTGCTCTGTGGGGGGTGCTTCGGGAGTATGGGGTCCGGGGTCCACTGTTGTGGCCGATTCGGTCCCTGTACGAACGGAGCAGAAGCTTGGTCCGCATTGCCGGTAATAAGTCGGACGTGTTCCCAGTGCGGGTTGGGCTCTGCCAGGGCTGCCCTTTGTCATCGGTCCTGTTTATAATATTTATGAACAGGATTTCTAGGCGCAGCCAGGGTGTGGAGGGTGTCCAGTTTGGTGGCCTCAGGATTGCTTTTTGCGGACGATGTTGTCCTGTTGGCTTCATCTGCTGGGGATCTCCAGCATGCTCTGGGGCGGTTCACAGCCGAGTGCGAAGCAGCGGGGACGAGGATTAGCACCTCCAAGTCCGAGACCATGGTTCTCAGCCGGAAACGGGTGGATTGCCCTCTTCAGGTCAGGGAGGAGGTACTGCCTCAAGTGGAGGAGTTCAAGTATGTCAGGGTCTCGTTCTCGAGTGAGGGTAGATGACCCCTTGTTACTTTGTACTTATAACAACAACAGCAATAACAATCCATCCATTTCCCTACACCACTTACCCAAAATCTGCAGCCTATTCCCAAAAGCACAGGGCATGAAACAGAGGACGGGCTGGTCAGGATGCTGGTCCATTGCGGACCAACCAATGGGCAGCTTGTGCCTCTGTGGGTCTGTGCTCTGCGACTGTGATCAGAAGGTCATTGGTTTGAACCCCAGGGTCTGCAAGCTATTTTTGCTGTTGGGCCCTTAACCCCAGTCGCTCCAGGGACTAGATAACCTGGCTTTCTCAACTGAATAAAAGTCTTTAATAAAGAAGTAAATGTGAAAAATCTAGCACTAGTAGTAATGGGGCTGCATGGTGGTTTAGTGGGTATAGCTTCAGGGCTAAGGCTTCACAATTTGTCCCCATTCTGTGTGCAGTGTCTGATGTTCTCCTCCTGCAATGCAAAAGCATGCAGTTAGGTGGATTGAATCCCTAAATTGCTCACCGGGAGTGACTGCATGTTTCATGTTTTATTATCAGATAATAATAATAATAATAATAATAATAATAATAATAATAATAAGTGATACTTTATTGATCCCCGTGGGGAAATTGTTTTTACGCCTCCCTCAACTTGCTCTTTGTAGAGTAAGCTGTCCGCGAAGGGCAGCCACCTGTAGATGTGTTTGAGTAAGAAATTCTTCGTGCCACAGTTGCCGGGGAGGGGACATGTGCATCGGGGGACAATGGGACAAACAACAGGCAGTGCACGACAAGACAGTGCAGTATAGAAATCAGTAAACAATAAATAAGTGATGAATAGGTATCGTGATATGGGGATCAGGATGTGCATGATATAATGAGTCCAGTATATAATGTTAATGAAGGTAGAACATTCATAACACTATGCAATACAGGGTGTGTGTGTGAATGTGCCCTGTCCAGCACTGGTAGTCTATCCAGGGATCCCTCTGCCATTTGCTCTTATGTATTTTCCAGGCTCTCTGTGATCCAGTACTGGGTAAGTGACTGAAAAAATGGATAATCTGTATTTTAACACACTCATCATACATTTGTTTTAAAAATCGCACTCATGTCCAGGTAAATACCACACCAGCCTTGGCTTCATGACACCCATTTCTATTGGAAGATGAAAGCTTACCTAGGGCCAAAAACGTCATTATGTCCCCAGTACAATCAAAACGATATATTTGAAAAACTGAAAAAAATTAAAAACAAAACAATATGAAGAGATGGTCCGTTTTAAATCCCGTGGTCTAATATTCTGAAACGTTAAATCTGCATGTAGACTAAAGCTGGTTACTATGAAAAAGTCGATCAATGTCGTGAAATTTCTATTTTGAAACTGTAAATACATCTTATTTTTTCCATGATGCTATACACCACACTGATATATCAGGAGGTATGGACTGAAGGGAATATTTTCTGTTTATCCCATTCCTCGAACCACTGCCCAGTTTTAAGTTGGACATGCAGGCAGGACAGAACGTCCCACGAAATCCACATAAACATCACATACATCAGCATGTTAACGTACACGTTGCTGACTGCATGATTTTGGACACACCTCTCTCTGCCTCATTGGATAAAATTGCCTCACAGCGCTTTTGATTGGTTGAACATACAGACCCTCATGCAGCATACAAACCACACCTTTTAGGGGAGACCCACAGACTGCTAACTGGTGTCAGATAATAAGCGCTCATTTCCCAGTTGGTGTTGTTTATTGGGGCGCGTTCTTATTTTTCCTTTGCGGTAGTTATGCTTTTGCCATCACAATGAAATTTGTGAGGTTCCTCATGAAGAATTCTGCTTTGGCCAACGTGCCAAAGCACATTGACCATTTTTCGAAATTCTCACCTTCTCCTCTTTCCATGAAACAGTTTCTTGATTTCGGTGAGTACTGTTTACCTTTAACGTCATCGGGGTTTTGTATATGCATTATATTAACGTGATTATGTTTCACAACTGATGGCTAACATCAGATTCGTATTTTGCTGTGCCTAAATAACGTTTTATTTTGCTGCGGCTAATAGCGTTTTATTTTTGTCTGTTATCGCTTAAGTGACAGTTTACGTTGTGTTGTGAATTTTAGTCATCTGCAACAATCTATGCAAATATTAAAAATAAAAATACGTTTCAAATGCATGGAGTGCTTCGTTTCGCAACGTACTGCTTTACTGTACTCTTCTGCATGGCCGGTTAGTTCAGTGGCTATTGCGTCAGAATGCTTGGTCATTTGTAATTTGCTATTTAATCTTAGAGCTGTTTACAATCTAAATACTTACGAACGTTCATGCGTCACTGCAGCGTCGCTATAGCTACACTAAAGCAGAAATGTTAATATTAAATTTGGCAGTAGCTTTTTAGTATTTATCTGGGGTTAATGGATAAAGTTTAACAGTGCTGGATAAATTACATAACATAATTTATCGTATTTACCTTTTTAGTATTTATCGGTTACTGGTAACAATTTTTTTCATATTCTTTCTCATCTGTCATACATTATAACAGAACTGTACAACTGTGTACTTGACAGTTGATAAACATCAATAGTGGGTCGACAAATGCAACTTCTTAATCTAAGCAAGCACTGCATTTTGGATTCAGCACTACTCAGTATTGTGTACGTGTTTCATGGAATATGAATGTCTGGTCAGTTCCTTGTTTGCAATGGCAAATTCTCAAGATAAAATAGTGCAATTTAATTTGTTTTGTGTTTGTAAAAAGACTGACAATAAACGCTGTAATTTCTGCAATCGCAGGTTCAACCAATGCATGTGAGAAGACGTCGTTTGCCTTCCTGAGACAGGAGCTTCCCGTCCGCCTTTCTAACATCATGAAGGAGATCAATTTGTTGCCCAGCCGTCTGCTGACGACCCCTTCCGTACAGCTGGTGCAGAGCTGGTACGAGCAAATTATCGTTGCATTTTCATTTATTTACATGCCGAGTTGCAGTAACAGCATTTTATATGCTAGACTTGCGACAGTCATAAAATGCATATTTACGGCTTATCATGAAGAAGAGATTAAATTATGTTATTTAAAACGTGTTTTGTGTTATGAATGTGTTAGTTTTACGTTTACGTCTCGTATTTATTTTAGTTGTTTTCTAGCAGAATGAGCATCGTCAGCTTTATAAATAGCTTGTCCTTTGTTCGACTTGGCTTATGTGGGTAGTTTACAGTACGATGGTTATGCTGTGAACTTTGTCCCACTTCCCTCCTCCTCCGCGAGTCACGTGTCTCGATGTTTTCGAGCAGTGTTTACAGTGTATTTCAGGCAAACGAATAATATGGCTTAGTGTTATTTTTTCAACAGCACAGACTACTTAGTTATTATTTACATACAGTAACAATAAAGCAGTACTTCTAAAAACAAAATGCAGCTGCCAAGACGTTTTGCAGACTTCCCCGTTCCCCAGGAACACAATGGCGCTTGCGCGGCTCTTCCTCTAGGTGCTCTTGTTTTCCTTGCAGCGGAGGGAACACAATGTACTCTGCACCAACTGAACAGTCTATGCCTCTTTTTTTCGTGGTGCATGGGTCAAAGGGCTGTCTGTAGTCGCCTTTTCAACGGAAACCCTCAGTGCTGTTTTGTCCCATTTCGCTTTATTACAATATTTTTGTTTTTGCGATAATTATTTGAAATAAGTGGCCAGCGCTGGTGCTTTTCTGTTTTCGTCTGTATTCAGTTGCTTCATGCAAACAATGCGCACTGAATTCTTATATATAAAAAACTTTTATACGGGATCCACCTTCATGTGGTTTTTAAGACGACAGGTGCACATTCTATAAAAAAAAACTGCAGTGGCTGAAGGATCAACAAACAACAAAATACAAAAGCTGCATATTTTAAAAGAAAATGTTGTGAGTTTTGAAGTGTAAAATGGGCAATTGCCCTCCATTTTATTAATTACTTTTTTTTTTGGGGGGGGGGGGACCATCTAACTGCAAACACATACAACTGTCAAACTAAGTACAATACAAATATACAGTTGTTTGCATGTAGTGATTCACTGCAGTTGCAAAAGGTCAGTAGCATTTGGTGTGCTTTTTAGTTCTTACAGAATTTGAAAATGCACGTTCGTCTCCTATTTCTGTGGCTTTAGGTATATCCAAAGCTTGATGGAGATCCTGGAATTCCTTGACAAAAGTGCTGAAGAACATAAAGTCCTGGAAGAGTAAGTCTTCCATTAGTTTCTGTATTTTCTGTGCTTTATTCAGGCTGAATCATGTGGGATTGTGTCTCAGACTCTCTCTGTATATTTTTATTTAGCTTTGTGGAGACACTGGTGAATATCAGGAACAGGCACAATGATGTAGTGCCCACTATGGCACAGGGCGTCATGGAGTACAAGGAGGCCTTTGGTCAGGATCCCGTGACCAATCAGAACATCCAGTACTTCCTGGACCGCTTCTACATGAGCCGCATCTCCATACGCATGCTCATCAACCAGCACAGTGAGTGTCAGGCTGTAGTCAAGCTGAATCGCGCATTTCCAATCGCAGTTTAACAGTAATGAAGACGGTATCTAGTGCCCGGGAACAAACAGGAACAATAATAGCAACTCTACTGTACAGAAATATGTTGCATAATAAGATATATCAATGTGGTGAGAAAGGTTATTAGATGTGATGAGCTTGACATGCTTGAAGTGCAGAAATTTCAGTGAAGCTTTGTGGCGTAAGCTGAATTGCTGTTCTGTTTTATCATAAAGTTTTGTGATCTTCAAACCTTTAAGGAGAGTGGTATAATTTTTTGGCAGTGTACTTTTAAGTTGCGGTCTTTCCTAGACTGCCTTATTTTCAAATTGCATTTACAGCTCTTTCCTTTTTTGCGTCATGTAGCTCTTGTCTTTGATGGAACCACAAACCCAGCCCACCCAAACACTATTGGCTGCATTGACCCCCACTGCAATGTCGCAGAGGTTGTAAGAGGTGAGTCGGCATGATTTGAATTCTTTGTTTTGTTGTGCAGAAGAAAAAGCAGTTATGATGTCAGTCTGCAAGCCCAGGTCATGGTTAGCCTCAACGTGGAGAGATTAAGCCTGATAGGAGAGCTGAGTTTAAAGTGCTGTCTGTCCACATGTCCTCTTCCAGATGCCTTTGAGAGTGCCACGATGCTTTGTAACCAGTATTACCTCACTTCACCTGACCTGGAGCTGCAAGAACTTAACAGTAAGTGAAACTGCTTAGCACAGCTCAGTTATTTCCTAAAATTTTAATGCTACCTGTTGAAAAAACCTTGATTATGCAGTTATTTGTTTGACTTTACTTTCTAAATGATCTAACAGCACTATAGAATTCAAGCACATTTAAATGGAACATCTGAAGTTTGCACTGTAAAGAAAAAAGTCCATATGATTGGCTGCCTTTGTGATTGTTATCAATTTTTTGCACCATTGAGTACCAGCGGGTGAGGTGATCCATGTAAATCTGTTGAGTCAACATCGTGAAAGTCACAGTCCTTTTGAGGCCATGTTAGAATATGTGATGTTAAAAAAAGATTTTTTCCCCTTGCTCAGCAAACAATGCCAAACAACCCATCCACATTGTCTACGTACCTTCCCACCTGTATCACATCCTCTTTGAGCTTTTCAAGGTAAGAAAGCCTACCCGTCTTAAAATGTTTGTCAATGAACACTCTTATGAGCCACTGTCTAACTAAAGCTTACCTTCTTCAGAATGCTATGAGAGCAACGATTGAAAACCATGAGGCCAGTAGCTACCTTCCACCAATTCAAGTCATGGTAGCGATTGGTGGAGAGGACCTGTCAATCAAGGTATTATTTTTTATCTGACTAGCCTTTTCTGTTTTTTTTGGCTCCCTCTAGAGTACTTTCTGCTCTATTTACAGTTCACTTTATGAATGTTGTCCAAGGCTGGTTATGTTATGTAATTTATCCAGCACAGTTAAACTTTATCCATTAACCCCAGATAAAGTTAACAGTAACTGCTGTATTAGAAGTTTATTAACGAAGCAGGACGATGATCATGTCTGTTTTTAATATCTATGCTGCTGTAACTGTGTCTGTCTATAGTACGTTTTCGTTTAACTTTTGGTAACCGTGGTGATGTACGGAATCTTGGCCTAAATTTTGTTTTTTGTTTAGTGCTTATCGGTGTGTCAGGGTCGCCTCTTGAGCAAACGGATTTTGACCTGCCGATCTGCTATGCAGCACACACCTGTTTGCTGACTAATTCTGCCGTTCTGTCTTGCAGATGAGTGACAGGGGTGGTGGGGTGCCCTTCCGGAAGATGGAGAAGCTATTCAGTTATATGTATTCTACAGCTCCCACACCACAGATTGGCCAGCACCAGCGAACACCACTGGTAAATCTTGCCACCAGTACCTGTTGCACAGAAAACATCAGATTCCCTCTAGTACGCAAGTTAAAAAGCAGTATGTAACAACAGCTAAATGACTTGTACTCCTTATCCTGGTTGTAGGCTGGGTTTGGCTATGGTCTTCCCATCTCACGGCTGTACGCACAGTACTTCCAGGGAGATTTGCAGCTTTACTCGATGGAGGGCCATGGCACTGATGCCGTCATCCACCTGAAAGTAAGTCACCCTGGTTGTTCTTAGCTGCCTGGAGCTATACTTATGTGCATGTAGTATTAGAGTAGCATCTCCAAGACAGGCTGGCACCTATTAAGAAGCATCGTTCCTTGTCTTTGTTCTGCACACATGTTGATGGTTGTTCTCCCATCACCAGGCTTTGTCAACTGATTCTGTGGAGAAGCTGCCTGTGTTTAACATGACAGCACTGAGACATTACAAGATGAGCCACGAGGCAGATGACTGGTGCGTGCCCAGTAAAGAACCCCTCGACCTGGCTTTTTACCGGGTGGCCAAGTGAAGGAGATGGTGTGGACCGCCAGCCTTACTCATCGACCATTCTGCTTGAAGAGGGAATGCAGACTGCAGCTCAGTAGTAAACTAATAGGAGGCAACTTGAGAGACTGACATCTGTAGGGATTTGGAGATCATCTGTCCGTGGAATTTCTGGACTGTGAAAAATGTGTCACTGTGTTAAACCACAGTTGTTGTATCATTTCAGGATCACTGTATGTCCATTCGCACTGTCTCCTAGATTTTCTGACCAAGCCGTCGGGCCTGTGTGAAGATAGCGTGGAGGTTTGGTCTGCGTACAAGTAGCCGTGACTTAGAAAGTGAAAGAGGCCTGAGTATGTTGTCCTTGGAATGGTGTTCGGAGTTTTAGAGGGCATTCAAGATAGGAAATGATCAAAAGCAGCATTTTAAAAATACCGCTCAACTGATGAGCAGTGCTAAATATTTTACAAGGAGATAAAGGATTTGGAAAGATTCTGTAACCATTAGGTTGTCTTTGCTGTTGATCATGTAATGTTTATACCTTTGTCGTCTTGTCTCAGAAGCTTGTGGCACCTATACAGCCATTGATTTAGAAGATCCTGTGTCACAAGCATGATATAATGTAAATATCCTTGCACTTATTTTGATTTGTCCCCAAATTATGACTGTTTTTTCCCCAGAAAACCTGAGTGTACTTGTGTATGGTACAAGCTTGTGCAGCCAAAGAACTATTGCCAGTATAGGGCCTAGAGTTTCATTGGCTATGGCGTATTAAGGGATGACCGGAAGCTGGAGTAATCACACTGAAAATAAGTTTGTGTGTCTGCTTTGGTAAAGGCATCCTCTGCCATGACTCACAAAAATCTTCTTGATTTAATTAGCAACATTGGATGTGGTCCTTTGTTTTCAAAATTTACGTAAAATTTATGTAATGCGATTCAATTGTGCAATCGTTTACTGCAGCATTTAACATACCAACATTTCTGTGGACCTCAAAGTACACGATATAAGGTATTTAATACTTAAAAACGGTGCAGTGTCTTTTTGTGCATGCATATATTTTGTTTGATCATATAACATAAAATGTCTGCAAAAGCTGGTTGGAATATAACATATCCAGTATGAAGATATATAAGACCATTTTGGTACTCTGGATTCCAGTATTGTATTTGCGGTGCTAGGACCGATTTCATATGCTCTATGCTGACAAAGCAGTTATAAAAAGCCTGAAAATTATATTTCACCAAGTTAAAAAATCAACTTTTGAATACTCAGTCGGCAAAGAGTTTTACATCACTATGTAGATTTCTTCTGATTTTGGAATAATGACCAGACTTATGATCCAGCTACTTTAAAAGACTCTCATATTACTTTTGGAAAATTATATGTTGCAGTTCGGAATTTCATGTGCCCAGTGCTGAAGTGCTCATTTCCATTCTATTAGTATCATTTTCAAAGCAGAGTGTAATTGTGTTTTGCTGTATTACTTTGAAGTAACATCAATGTGCCTTTTCTGGTTTGAGTGATGCTGTTTGTTTGTATATATGGGTCCACTGCATGTGCACATTTGCACATGAAATCTTTTTTGTTTTGTTTGGATTTTATTACCCTGTTTTTAACTGAGAAGGAGGATTCTAACACCAGTATTTTGTTTATATTTTGAAAATACTTATTTTTGTAAAGAAAAAAGAAATAAATAAAAAGAAATAAAAAATAAAACATGAATTATGAGTTCTGTCAGATGTATTGGAATTTAAGGGGAATGGGATGAGCTGTTTTGCATTGTACTTAATTAAAAACTGTTTTAAAAATCATGTATTTTAGGAGTGGGCCTGGGCAGCAGCACAAACTACTCATTTCCTAAAAAGCTGAAACATGTGAGCACTGTGAACACGGCACTGTTCATTGTAGAAATGGACGCATGATGCTGCACATAGTCGAAGGCACACAGACCTTCACATTTGTAACTCCTATAAAACTTGCCCAGCAGTTTTTTTTATTACAATCAAAACTTTAGCTAATGCTAACTTGCAAACTTACTAGCCAAATCAAGTGCAAACCTGTTACATTTATTAGAAAAAGCTTTTTTAAAAAAAAAAAAAAAAAACTTATTTAATATTGATAACCTGTGATGAAACATTGATAAACATTTGATGAACAGAAATTTTAGATGCTCTAATTTGATATTAAGAATGTTACAGTCACACCCTAAAGTGCTTTGTCCCAAAACATGGAGACCAAGTTTCTCAATGCCAGATCCAACTGTGCAACAATTTAGGTTTAGATGATTATGACAAATATTACGATTCTATCATCCTGGAAATGTATCACAAGATTCATTATTTGAAAATAACATTAATTTAAAAACTAATGTATTATATCTCATCCAGGGTACCTGTTACAACAGGGCACAATGAACGTTGATCCACTGGTTGTCTTATGAAGAAGGTTTCACACTAGATTCACACGAACAAGAATCCAAAGGGACCACAATGGGTCAAAGACAGGCAGGCAAACACTGAACTACCAAAGACTTAAAGCAAACATAAGAAAATGCAAAGCACATGCAAAGATTCAAACCAGGGTTTTCACAGGGACCATTTAACTGCAAACACATACAACAGCTGACAATGGGATAGAGAACAGGCAGGGATTTAAATGCACAAGTAATGAGGTCTTGACAAGGGACAGGTATGGGTTATTATCATGGTTATTAACACTCAACCAAGAGCTAAGGGCTACATCACTAGCAAGGGCTACATCACTACCAAGGGCTACTTCACTACCAAGGGCTACATCACTACCAACAGCTACTTCACTACCAAGGGCTACATCACTACCAAGGGCTACTTCACTACCAAGGGCTACATCACTACCAACAGCTACTTCACTACCAAGGGCTACATCACTACCAAGGGCTACTTCACTACCAAGGGC